TATGTCAAATTACTCTGATTGGTCAATAAATAAAACACTGATTGGCCAGTGGCTAGGCAGGAAGTATAGGCAGGACTAACAGAGAGGAGAAAAGAAAGAACAGGAAGGCAGAAGGAGTCACTGCCAGCCGCCGCCAGGACAAGCAGAATGTGAAGATGCTGGTAAGCCACGAGCCACGTGGCAAGGTATAGATTTATGGAAATGGATTAATTTAAGCTATAAGAACAGTTAGCAAGAAGCCTGCCATGGCCATACAGTTTGTAAGCAATGTAAGTCTCTGTGTTTACTTGGTTGGGTCTGAGCAGCTGTGGGACTGGCAGGTAACAGAGATTTGTCCTGACTGTGGACAAGGCAGGAAAACTCTAGTTACATTTCAGCTTTAAAAAAATATTCCATTTAGTTATTTTTATGTGGGAGATAACTAACATACGCAATCTTAAGTGAAACTGTACACACACACACACACACACACACACACACACACACACACACACGCATGCACGTGCGCGCGTTTTAAAGGAGTAAGGCTCTCTGGTTGAAAACAGAAGCAAGGACAGACGTGGGCTGCTTCTCTCCTTCCTGTCCAGCCTCCTCTTAGCCGACTAACTCTTGTTACTTAGACACACACAGCCTACACTGACTCAGACCCATTACATGCATAGTTCCTGCTGCTGCGCTCTGCTCTGAATTCCCACTCTTCTTCCCTTGTTTCTTTTAGGTCTTTATTCAGACAATGACATTTCATGGGGACCGTCTTGCTGTCTAAGTGGACACACTCCTTACACGCCCCACAGCCCAATTCCCTGCTTTACTTTTCTCTCACACATCCTTTTTTCAAATTTAATTTTATTTAATGTGTATGGTTGTTTTGTCTACATGTATGTATGTGTAGACATGTGTGTGGCTGGTGCCCCAGGAGGTCAGAAGAGGGCACTGGACCCCCTGGGACTTGGAGTTCCAGATGGCTGTGAGCCTCCATGTGGATGCTGGAAATTGAGCCTGAGTTCTCTGGAATAGCAGCCAGTGCTCTTAACCACTGGGCCATCTCTCCAGACCCTTCTTTCATATTTTTAACCATCTGATATGTCACTGTTTTGTTTACTGTCTGACTTTGTCTGGAATAAAAGTTCCCATGGAATTTTATCACTTTTTTTTTTTTTTTTTGCCTGCTTTTCATCCAGTACTCAGGAAAAGAACAGTCCCCGGCAAGGATCAAGCACCAATGAGTGTGTGCTGAGTGAAGAGGCACCGTGGAGGCCAGAGACCAGAACACGGGACAACCTGCAGGGGACCAGTGGAGAAGGACAGGTCTGCCAATGAGTCTCAGAGTCACACAGGGCCAGGGGCAGGCTAGGAACTCCAGACTCTTCTCTTCCCAAGAGGAAACCACTGAAAGGTTCTTGTATGGGAAAAACATTACCAGACTTTGTTGCTGTTGAGATGGCTGTCCTACAACTCTCTATGTAGACCAGGCTGGCCTCAAACTTACAGAGATCCACCTGCCTCTGCCTCCCAAGTACTGGGAAATCTTTATTTTTATTTATTTATTTATTTATTTATTTATTTATTTATTTATTTATTTATTTATTTATTTTTGATATCATGGTAGTTTATCAGTGGAGATATGGAAAAGCTTGGGGCCCAAGGGACATGGTGTGGCAGGTGGGAAGAGCCCATTTGCATTTATGGAAAGTAACCCTGTAGCTGGCACTGGAGGCAGAGAAGAGCTTGAATGTCACAGTGCTTCCACCTCCTGCTTCTGCGACTATTTCCGGTCATGCTGGTGAGTTGTTCCTGTCTCCCCCAGGATCTGTCCATTACCCTGTCAGGAACACATCTGGCCAACAGTGAGATACATGCAAGCTCTCTCAACACAGCAGGGCTCCCCACAGCTCCAGGCACAAGTGTAGCTTTTTCTTCTTGATTCTAAGGGTCAGCCCTGGGCCGTGAGCTTGCAACGTGTGTGTGCGCGCACCAGTTTTGGCAACATGTGGCCTTCCGTGTTTTGGGCATTACAGGATCCTGGACAAGGAGCGTGCTTCGCTAAAACAAAGTCTGTCCAGTTCCCCATGAGACTCAGTCTAACGGCCTGTGCGAGCCCCACTTGGTAACCCAAGCAGGCTCGAGTCATTCCACCGCTCTGGCTCCCTCGTGGTACTGGGACTTCCAGACAGCCCTGGCATCTGGATTCAGCATTGCAGGCAGGATTGTTCTACTTGGGAAATCTTTATTTTTAAAGCATCATTTTAAACGTTGATTGGAGTAATGGAGAATGCATAGTAGACAGTAAATTAAGAGGCAGCTCCAGTTTAATTCAACTGAATTAAAAACAAAAAAACCCACGCCTTTAGTCCCAGCATTTGGGAGGCAGAGGTAGGTGGATCTCTGAGTTTAAGGCCAGCCTGGTCTCAGATTGAGTTCCAGGACAGCCAGGGCTAAAGAGAAAAACCACCTCCTACAAAAAAAAAAAAAAAAAAAAAAAAAAAAAAAAAAAAAAAAAAAAAAAGAAAGAAAGAGAGAGAGAGAGAGAGAGAGAGAGAAAGAAAGAAAGAAAGAAAGAAAGAAAGAAAGAAAGAAAGAAAGAAAGAAAGAATAACTCTACTTCACAGACAACACATGGGCAGGTAGACCACCCTGGCAGTTCACACACACCCAGAGCAGCACAAAAACGCACCTGTTCTTTAAAGAGAAAACCACAGCAGGTCCTTTCGTTTTCAGTCATCACCTCACACCCCTTCCGTTCTCATTAGTAGATCCGCATTTGGTTCCTTTACTAATTTTAACGGGGGTGGGGTGGGGAGTGGGTGTAGGTTGAGACTGAGCCTTACTCTATGTAACCTAATCCAGCTTCCAACTGGCAATAAATAACCCTCTCGCCTCAGCCTCCTAAATGGTGAGATTACAGGTATGGACTACCATGGCCAGCTTTGCTTTGTTGTTATTTTTAATAAAATAAATAGAATCAGTGAGAGTTGTGCTACACTGTAACCAGTGACTTAGTTGTCAAGGGCTCTAATCCCATGGTTCTCAACCTGTGGGTCCTGCCCCTTTGACAAACCTCTTCCCTCCTACAATATTTACATTACGATTCATAACAGTAGCAAAATTATAGCTATGAAGTATCAACAAAAATAACGTTATGTTTGGGGTCACCACAACATGAGAAACTGTACTAAAGGGTCCCAGATTTGGGAAGGTTGAGAACCACTGTACCAAGCATTAATCATCAAGATAAAAAATAACTTGCTATGGGATGGTCTTTCAGTGCTGTGGGGTGGTCTGTCAAATCTGTTGCTCTGATTGGTCAATAAATAAAACACTGATTGGCCAGTGGTCAGCTATAATTTCAGTGCTGTGGGGTGGTCTGTATGTCAAATTACTCTGATTGGTCAATAAATAAAACACTGATTGGCCAGTGGTCAGGCAGGAAGTAGGTGGGACAAGGAGAGAGGAGAATTCTGGGAAGCAGAA